GGGGGGGGGGACGATCACGCGGGGGAAAAAGCACGCGGGCTGGAGGTAGCGGCACACGGGGAGAGAGGTGCGCGGGATATCACGTTGGAGGTGGGAAGAAGGTGGGGGAAGCGGGAGTGGGGTCGGGATCGGGAAGACAGGACGAAGGTGGGGGAAGCGGGATCGAGATTGGGGAGACAGAAAGAAGTTGGGGAGGGAGGAAAAAGGATCGCACTGGGGGGGGAAGAAGATAGCGAGGGGGTCGGGAGTCGGGGGATCGCGTGGGGAATCGGGGTCGGGGAATCAGGGTCGGGGAATCGGGGTCGGGGAATCGGAGTTGGGAAGGGCAGTGGGGTTTGTCGTGCCAGGGCGGAAGTYGTGTGGGGGGAGCAATGTCACGCTGTCGGAGGGCGCGGTGTCCCGACCATCCGTTGTGTACCAAACGCTCGGTCATCTGCCTCTACATACAAGATGTCAACCCGCATACGTTTGCTGTGAACCTGGTATCAACCCGCAGGGTTGTGCAGGACTGACAGACCGTTACTGGGCTCCCAGTGGTACCATATAGTCCCGACATCTTGCCATTTATGCGRAATGGCCTATAGGCGAAGCGACCATCGGTTTTGCCCAGTGTGATAGAAGAGGGGGTAGCACGGTCTGATCTGACACGAGCCGGACCCCGATGGTCATGAAATGGACTAAGTGCATAGAGAGCGATAGTCAACTCGGTTTCCTTAATCGCACGCTAAATGTCTCTAGTGGAATTGTGGGTCATATGCACGGAGCAACTGTCACTATCAAACAGAAAAGAAATATAGAAAGAAAAAGAGAAAGAAAAATAAAAAGTGAAGGGAAGTCATACGTCGGGCACGCGCGCAAATTTTGACCTCCGCTTTAGTTTGAGGAAAACTAGCGGCTTAAGATGCAACGGCGTCATAGACTCCACACTACTACTATTATTTTTATTACTATTATTATTATTATTATTATTATTATTATTATTATTTATTATTATTATTACTAAGTTTCCTACAGGTCTTTTCGGCCTGTCATTTCGCGGGGGCCAAACGGTTCGATTTCGAACTATGGCTATCGTATGACGACCTAGACTGGCCCGACTCTTCACTTTTTACCTGCCGCGCRGACCCCAAAAAGAGGGGCACCCCGCGACCGCTTTGGTAGGAGGCTTATCACCACCTGTGGAGGGTCATAAGCCCCCTCCTTACCATCGGAAGCAGGTACCCATCAAGGGTAAGGCTAGCTATCGATTTTGAGGGCGGAGAAACTTCGGTCGGTATTCTGTTATGGGATTGCCGCACCAGCAAATATGTCACTAAGAAACGAAGGGGGCTGCGATGGACGACAGAGAGTTCTGATCATAATATGACCGTTGAGGTGTGATCCTTATCTTCTTTCTTCCTTTAAATTTTATTTTATCTTTTACTCATTTCTCTAAGATCTAATTATTAATGTTCAGAATTTAAATGTTGGCTGAACTAAATCCCTCATTCATAACACGGGGATCGCGGTAGGTAGAGGTCTTATAAAAGAGAAGGGAGTTGTGTTATTGGCTACTCGGGTACAGGTAGTCCCGTTGTGCTGAGTACGGGTGAGCCGAAGAAGGAGGACGGGGCCGCGAAGTGAGCGTGTGATTCCGTCTGTGTGTGCATGAGATTTGTATTCGGTTTTGGCTATTCTGGAGCCGGTAGCCTAACACTGTGCATGTTTTTTTCAATAGAGGAGAGGCTATGGCGCGTAGCAATGGCCTTTTTGGCTATAGGCCAGGGCACYTGAGGTTCTACAGGAGTTGGGAGCCTATGCGCTAAGAGGGGGCTACAGTGGACGCCTGCCTGAGCTATAGTAAACGTGACGGACAAGTAAGGTTAAAGATAAACGTCTATGGAGGGAAAGAATAGGAGATGAGGGAAGATGAGAAAGTACAGGGGGTAGTCACCGAGGCTCGCAACCGAGCTGAGCAAAGGTGCAGGAGGAATGGCGTGACTGTGGCCTTGAAGTTTACAGTCGCTTACCATGAAGAAGAGACTTCCACGAGCACAACTGAATGGGGGCAGCAAGGGTTGGACCGGGACTCAGAGGCCGAGTCCGAAGCCAGCGACGCGCTGGTGCAGTCCAGCCACGAATTGGAGGAGTGGAGGAGGGAGCATCCGCCAGCTGAGTCGGTAGAGGACGAGCCAGAAGCCAGTTCGGCTCAGCGGAGGGATTGAGCGTGCGAAGATGGTTACAGTGACAAAGGCACGATGAACTATTCATGTGCGCGAGAGAGACTAGACACAGCGCATGTGCAAGTACAAAGAATACTYAGGGTGTTGACGTCAACGTTGACTCCCGCGCGCAGGAAGCTAAAGAGGGGACACGCTCGCAACATCTATGAGGAAGAGGCAAAGAGGTTGCGAATCAGACTGACCAATCATCACTTACTTGGGATTGGTTTCTGCTGCACTCCCACGGAAGAAGCTGTTTTTCTCTTTTTCGTCTTTTCGGAAGCTAGAAAGTGTGTATGCCTTTCTTGGTGTTTGCCTATGGTGATAACTCTCTCGAAGTAAACGAGACGAGAAAGAGACTTAAACACACGCTTCTTGCAAACTGAGTGGGATCAGCGTGACAACGGGCTAACTGCCGAGTACGTGAGGCATTGAGTGATTAAGGGCTATCCCACGACGCCAACATCTTCGAGGGGAGTGGGCAGTCATAGCTTAGAAAAAGAGAGTGGGTGAGGT